CCGATCCGCCAGCGCTGACTGGCAGAACGGATGGGGGAGGGGGCGGGTACAGCTGGCTCTGCCTCTAGATAGGCAGAGCCAGCTGTCAGTCACGCAGCTGGGCGGATCCCGGCATAATTGTCGGGATCCGCTTCAGCGTCTCAGTATACCGCGAGCAGTAACTACAGCTTGCGGTATACTGAGACTAGGGTGACTGGAGGACGCTAGTTTGTGTCCTCCCGTTACCCTAAGGAGAACTATGGGGAAAAGCCTTAACCCCATAGTTCTCCTTTAACTGACCAAGAGAGGAGGTGTAGATAGAGAAGAGAGGGGGTCCAAAGACTGAGCCTTGGGGAAATCCTACAGAAAGAGGAAGAGGAGGGGAGGAGTTAGATTTGTAAATTTTATATCTGTTTAACTTTACAGAATTCAGATAGAGCCCTGTGGAGGGAGGGGCAGTGAAGGAAAGGGGGAAATTACTAATTCACTTTGGCTATTGAGCTTTGTAAACAACCAGCTTTTTACAACAGGCTGTAAAGATAACGCATGAAAAGGAACTGAGTGCTCTGAGTGAACCCTGCTATCAAATATTCATGTGCAATTTACAGAATAACAACATTTTTTTACATTTTTATTTTTTAGTCCAGACCATAATCGACACAGGAAATAAACACAAAATATCTTTCAATACCTTTATAAAATGCTTCATGCAATATTTTTGGAAAATAATTGAGATTAACTCCTATTGATGTGGTTTTGGAGAGGTTCCCCTGTATCCTCTCAGAGAAAGACCTCTAGTACACACCGAGTCCTTTTAAGCAGTATATATAGCCTGAGTGCGGGAAATGTATCACAGGTAGTCACTGCTATAGTTCCCTTAGACAGTTCATATTTATATATGGGAAATGTTTCACATAAAATCTTCTTGGTAGTAGATTAAGGCAGCAAGTACTTGTACTACGAAAGTATAACAGACAGTCAGTTTGGGAATAGAATGCTATTACAAGTACTTGCGTTTGAGAAGAGTTCCACAGAAAGTCCCTCTGTAAACCAGATCGATATTCAGATCGATGTGTGGAGGGATGTGCCAGTAATCCCAATGGAGATTCAGGGAGGAAGTGAGGTTAGTTCCTGTAGCTGGAGAGGAGGAGTTCTCTAATGCTGTGGTCAGGAAGCAGGCAAGGAGTCTCACAGTGGTGGATCCCTTGAGAGGGTAAACTGCCTGTGGAAATCAGAGGAGAGTTCAGCGTGTGTGTGATAGGAGCTGCATTGCCCAGTGACTTCTCCCTTGCTCGAACGCCGGGCAAGTGAACCCGTGAGGCTTTAAGCCGACATAAGAGGAGGGGCCTGCTGACGTCTGTGTTGACGTGGCGGAAGCCTGCACCGATCCCTGAGCGATGGACGGGTAAATCTATTACAAATGCCCATTTGACCTATTTTTGAAAAAATGTAACTGTTCCTTCTCATCTTTGTAGAGTGTTTCCTGTCTTGCCAAGATGGAGTGTAATCTGTGTAAGTGGCTAAAGGAGAAGAGAGGGTCTCGCCAGGTGGTCCTTGTGGTGGTGTCTGTGGGCCTGCTCCTGGACAACATGCTGTTCACAGTTGTAGGTATGTCTGGGGACTCATCTTACACTCTGATCATTAATATGGGATAATAGATTGCATCTAAAATCTCCTTTGTCATAAGCAAAAAATGAAATATGAGAAGTTTCGTTATCCACAAATCTCTAACCTTTCTTTTTTTAGTGCCCATCATTCCAAGCTTTTTGTATGAGAAGGAATACATGAATGGAAATACATCGATAGTCCAAGTCTCTTCTTCTCCATCTGCCACCACTTCTTCATTCGAAACCATTCACTCTTTCTTTGACAATTCTACGGTATCCAGTAGAGATCCAGAGCATGATCATCATCCCCATTCTCAAGGGTCCAATGGCAAGACCCAAGGACCTCCAAAGAATGCTACATGTACCAGGGAAAAAAGCGTATTGCAGGATGAGAATGTAAAAGTTGGTTTACTGTTCGCCTCCAAAGCAATATTACAGCTCCTGGTGAACCCATTAGTAGGGCTGATAACCAACAGGTATGGCTGTATGTGGACCTAGATCTCAACCTACCACAAGAAGTCCTGTTTGTGACTAGACAAATGTTAACCTAACTCTTTATTTTTTTTAATTTGTTCCCCATAGGGTAGGATATGATACGCCTCTCTTCTGTGGATTTGTCATCCTGTTCCTGTCTACTATAAGTGAGTAATTTACATGACATACAAGTGCCTATACAAAATCTCAAGGGGCTTGTTATTTTATAGCTAGGAAAAGGTGCGGGTAGGAGGATCATTTTGCTGCAAGTGCAAACCAAACAAATGCAACATTTAGCAGATGGAATGACATGGAAAACCCGCTGTAGTATTATAATTACAGTGACCCTGTAAGGGAAATGAAAACAGAAACAGCTGCCCGTGTCTCCTGCCTAAAATAAAGTCCTGCCTGCCTCCAATTCAAGTTTACAAGTCAAAACCACAGGGCTAAGGAAGCTCCCCCACCCTCCCATTGTGAATATGCTAGACCTGGCTACGGCTGCTCAGACATGCAGTATTGTAAGAAGTAGGGAGGCTGGACACATGTTCCTGATGGAAGTGTTGAGTATTTTCAAGGCAGATCCAGGGAAGACTTGTGGTGACTGAATGTGCAAGTCATATTCTACAATAAAAGTGCCTCAGCATGTGTGGGTCATGCTCTAATGGAGTACCATAATTGGGACATACACTGAGTGGTCAGATTATTATGACCACCTGACGTTTGAAGGCAAATTAGCCATAATTTGGCGCTGAAGTTGCTAGAGAGCCAGACCATTATAAATAGGGAAGCAGGTTGTTTACCACAACAGTAGAAGTGATTTGTTTCTGAAGATACGGGTAAACAATGCGATTTAACAGCCTTTGAACGTGGGATGATTGTTGGTGCTCGGAGCCATGGAGCGAGTATCAGCAAAACAGCAGAATTCGTTAAATATTCAAGAGCAGCTGTTGTTAAAGTGTTTAAAGACTGGACTGTCAGCCGAAAATCTGGGTCTGAACGTGCGAATTGTGGCCGTCAGCGACTAGTCAATGTTAGGGCAGAACGGAGAGTGGCAAGACTGGTACAAGACAACAGAAGGGCAACAGTGCCGTGTCAGATTCCTCGCATCACCTTCCAACATCTCGTGGAGTCACGAGGCGGCCCAACTAAGTACTGATAGGGGAGGTCATAATAATCTGGCCACTCAGTGTATACAAAAATAACTAACTAGGTTCTTTCATATGTTAATGACATTTTAAGGAGGGTTGGGGTAACTTTTAAGTAGATTTTTCAAAGTAGTAAGTTTGATATAAGTTCTATCTCTGGTGCTTCCACAGATTACAGAGGAAGTAGACTTGTAAACACACAACCTGTCTTGGCACATTTGCTTATAACTACTGATGAGTAAACTGAAGCTTACAAATAATGTTCCATACCAGATCATGCCAGTCCACCAACCATGCATGTTGAGGTCAAGATATGAGGTTTGGACATAACATGGTCAGAACCTAAGCTCCTCCAAACACAGAAGAAGCTCCTCTGAATCTGGAAATAAACTCCTTCTATTACCACCTACTTTCAGAACATATATCATTGTTTGGGGGTTTGAAGCTGTTTTCTAGCCAAAAATGTATATTTTATCATCTGTGTGGCAAATAGTAAGAAAATGCTCCGGACAGCAAGTGGTTAAAGAAAAGGAAAAATACATTCCATGTTTTATGGTACTCTGTGCTTTTACAAACTGAATGTCAACCAATTAGGGTTTACATTTATGTTAAAGTTATGATCTTGGCAAACAACACGATCAGTTTGCGGTTAGGATTTCCATTCCATTACAGTTTGGACATCTATTGTAAATATTTCTTGTAATATTAGGGTGATTCTTTAAAAACAAAACCTGGATTGACGATGATATTGTTATTTTCATTCTCCTAATAGCGATAGTCTATAGGTAATATTAATAAAAATAACTTCAATATTTGGTCAGACATCCAAACAAGAGTAAGTCAGGATAATGCCCGGGGCTTATGACTGTTTGATCCATCACAGTTGGAATAAATTTAAAAAAAACATGACAGTGCCCCAGAGCTGAATATCAAAATTCTTATAGAAAAAAAACGTGTTTGTTCTTTCAGTCACGTCGGTAATATTGATGCTTAGATTTTAGAACCAGACAAGATCAACAGCGTGCAGTAGAATTACTCAATAATTCACATTTAGTCAGGAATGCAACTCTGTCTGATAGGGCCTCATACAAAACCATGAAGAAGAAATTATTACTTAAAAGAGAACTATGGGGTAAGTGTTTTCCCCATAGTTCTCTTTAGGGTCACAGGAGGACATAAACTAGCGTCCTCCCGTGACCCAAAGCTCAGTATACCGGGAGCTATAGCTCACTATATACTGAGACCGCCGCAGTTGGGACGGATCCCGACATTACTGTCGAGATCCACCCAGCTGCGTGAATGAACAGCTGCCTCTGCCTATCTAGAGGCAGAGCCAGCTGTACCCGCCCCCTCCCCCGTCCGTTCCCCTAGTCAGTGCTGGAGGATCGGGGGGGGGGGAATCCCTTCGGGGAGCCGTGACTGACAGCCACCGCTCTCTGCAGGGAGATGATCGAGAAGTGAGGGAGCGACAGTATGTGTTCTCTCACTCCCCGATCTATAGAGCCGACGTGTGACAGTTTCACTGTCACACGTCGGCTCGAACTATGAGGAAGAGTGATTTTCACTCACCTCATAGTTCTCCTATAATTATTATTATTAAATTGTCTTTAGGATGGAGATAATGGTCCATGTTTAGCTAATCCATGTCAAAAACAATTCCTCTAATCTCCAACTTAAAGACAGTCCCTTTAGTGATACAAAATACTATAATTGCTTTCATAGCATCTATAGATAGGTTCTTAAAGTGACACTAAACTCAGGAGTTAAATCTTAAAAATACATTCAAGTTCCTTAACTATTAACAACAATAGTATCTTATTTGTGTATCACTCGGCTGTAGATCCTCAAATCATTTCTGAATTAGTGCTGACACTGTCCTTCCTTCTGGAGGGGGGCTACTTTTGTTCCCCATGGTCCCCGTGTGTGTTGTAAAGTAGTCACCGCTCCAAGCAAATATAAATGTTATTGTAAAGTGATTCTGTTTGCTCCAAGCTCATTCCTATGATGGACTTCAATCTCACATTTAGTTACCTATTGAGATTGTAGTCCATCACGGGAGCGAGCTTGGAGCGGTGACTACTTTACAACACACACAGGGACCATGGGGAACAAAAGGTGGGAATTAAATTTGTACAGTGTGTGGCCAGCTTTAGAACGTATTCATTTCAAATTGCTGCAGACATGTCTGTGTTGCTCTTGATAACCAATCACAATGAGCCTGCCATTTGTCCAGAGCAGGTAAGAAAATGGAAACTAATGCCTAGCTTGGTATGAACATCCGCTCATCATCCTTTTTAAGGAGTTCTTCATCTGGCCCTTAAAGTTCGTCACTGCTTCAGAAAACAGTTATAGGGGAACACCGCCATTGTGGCTTCTGCATGCAGCTATAATGACACTCCTATCAGCAATATTATGTTAACACTGATGGAGTTAAGACAATAACATGGTAGAGGAGTCTGGCAATAGCTGCAAGAGGAGTGAAGGTCCACTTTTCAAAAATGTTATATACCTTTTAATGTGCATGCGGCCATTGCTTCTAAATAATAACTTATGACTTTCTCCTAGTGTTTGCCTTCTCTGGTTCTTACACATTACTTTTCCTGGCAAGATCACTGCAGGGAGTTGGATCTTCATTCTCTACTGTGGCAGGTAAGAGTCAAGCTCTTTATGGTAAAAACATAATGTAGCCTTCCTAAACAGAAGCTATTCTCATTCCGTCACATATTCTACAAATAAGGGGATTACTTCTCATGATAGGATAGCAAATCATGCCTATTTGCCCCAATAGTAAGCAGAACTGGACCCAAAACATTTTATTTTATAGTTTTGGATAGAGTAAGGCAGTGTTATAACCCATCAGCTCTTTTTTTCCATCTGTGTCCCATTGGGGAGATTTACCTTCACTTCCTGTCCAAAAGCCATAACTGTGGGGGAAAGCCGTGGTGGTCAGCAGAACACCCCTTTGGAAGATTTCCCATCTATTCCTGTTGTCACGATCTGGATCAGACTCGGAGTCCAGTAGCTGAAACAGCAGGCAAAGTCGTAGTCAAACAGGCCAAGTTCGGTACGGTACACAAGCAGACGGTAGTAGTATAGGAGCAAGCAGAAGTGTAGTCAGAGATCAAGCCGAGGTCAGGAGCCAAAGGTATCAGGTATGAAGTGGAAGACGATGAGTGTAGTCGGTGAATCAGCAGCCAAAGGTCGGTACACGGGTAGCAGTATGAGCGGATTGTATCACAGAAGAAATGTGAAAGCCGCAGATTTGGCGCCAAGGCACCTCTTATAGTGCGGTCCTAACTCTAAACTATCAGAGCCTCCATCTTGGAGCACATGGGGCAGAAGATAAAATTGGGTGCAGGTTTGTCAGGAGGAAGCCCAGCCCCCTTAAAGGCACAGAGACGCACAGATCTGGTTCCTGACACCTGTTCTGATGATAATACAAAATATGGGATTTTACTTTTGGGTCAGCAAGACAAATAGAGAGGGTGAATCTTCCTAACGGGGACACAGACAGCAATACAAACCTGACAGCCTGCGCTAATCCCTCTCCACTCTATCCAAAACTTAAAAAAAAAAAAAAGGTTTGGCTTTAGTTCCACTTTAACTGTATATTCAGAACCATTGGTGTATGGCAGAGATGCAGCCTAATATAAAAAGAGCCATTTTATTCCAAACTGCATGCAATTGTTTTGTTGGGGGACCAACAAGGAAGTATAACCCAACCAGTGATAGAGGTGATCTCTGGCCAAGGCTGTACTGTGCTGTGGGCTGGTTCAGTGAAGGACTTTTTAGGTCCTTTCTGGCCCACCTCACCATAACTTGCCGAGTTATACTTTCTCTTTTTTGTAAGCAAAGCTGATAATGTGCACCTGTAGTCCGATATTGTGACTAGGCGGTTTACTTCACACTATGGTACGAGTATAGTCACAAAAACAAAATGTTCCCACAGACATAATACGTTCACTCGATCTACCCAACACCATGACCCTGGTCAATGCTCTCTGGCTGAAAGCTGTAACATTTTAGATGGTTTTGCAGGAAACGTGGCGGCTCATAAAATTACTATTGTTCATTCAGCCTTGAGAATAGTGCTCGGTGAACTAGGCTTAGGCAGTATCAGTATCTGGTTTGTATGTTTTGTTTACTTTAGTTGTTTTTTTCTTATACTTTTGCAGCCTCTCTACTGCATTTGTTATGCAATATACCTCCTTTGCATGTCTGCTTGCTCTGTTATGCACCCTCTCACTTTACAAAAACCACCTATAGCATTTTCTCTTGCTCTGACTCTTTTAAAATGGTCATAGTGGTGAGATAATTGTTCCCTGATTTGGTCAATCATGTGAAAATCTCATGTCTGTAGCAACAGCGTATATGTTTCCTGATGGCTTATTTTATTAATAGATTCATAATAGATAAATTCACTAGGAATATATTTCTCCCAGTCTCTGTTTCCTTACCTAATATATACTGGGGCCCCAAGATGTGTGCTCAAGTCAAACATACACTATATTGTCAAAAGTATTGGGACACCCCTCTAAATCATTGGATTCATGTGTTCTGTGAAATTTCCTTGCTATTAAATATTGAACGGTCACCTGTTAGTGGTATTCGAACAAAGTGGAAGCAATTGGGAACAACAGCAGCTCAGCCATGTAAAATGACAGAGCAGGCTTGGCCCCTTAGTTCCAGTGAAGGGAACTCTTAAGGCATCAGCATACAAAAGACATTTTGGACAATTTCATGCTCCCAACTTTGTGGGAACAGTGTGAGAATGGCCCCTTCCTGTTCCAACATTACTGCGCACCAGTGCACAAAGCAAGGTCCATAAAGACGTGGATGAGCGAGTTTGGGGTGGAGGAACTTGACTGGCCTACACAGAGTCCTGACCTCAACCCGATAGAACACCTTTGGGATGAATTAGAGCGGAGACTGCGAGCCCGGCCTTCTCATCCAACATCAGTACCCGACCTCACAAATGGTCAAACATTCCCATAGACACACTCCTAAACCTTATGGGCGCCTTCCCAGAAAAGTTGAAGCTGTTATAGCTGCAAAGGGTGGAGCCAACCCAATACTGAACCCTACGGACTAAGACTGGGATGCCATTAAAGTTCATGTGCGTGTAAAGACCGGCGTCCCAATACTTTTGGTAATATAGTGTATATGTTTGTTGGGAAGGCATTACCTCTGGGAAGTTTATGGTGTTTGAAGTATTGATTACTGTCATATGTCTATAACACAGTAACTCTCAACCAGGGTGCTGGGTGTGACGTATGCCCGGCCCAAACCCGCTGTACATCAATCACACGTGACTGAACCGAACGTGGGCGTCACAAGGACGTGGCGATACCACTGGTAGCCTCACCCTGGACAGAGAGTTCCCAGCTCGGGGGACACAATCTCAGGCCAACAGACTGACAGCTATCGTCACCAGGGTTGGGTAACTCCGCGGCTAACCCTTTACCACAAACGTTCGCTGCCACCATGTGTGTGTTTTTAACGGAAACACAGACCGCTCCCAGCAAGTGCTGTGACAATTTAAAACACTTAAACAATGCCTATGATACCGCTGTCCTCTCTGGCAGGTATATGACAGGGTTCACTGTACAGTACCGCTCTTCACAGAGGCAAGGATACTTTATGTTCTTATTCAGAGCGTAGAGATAAGCTTAACGATTTTTAAGATCGTCCTTTAATAAAAGAAACGGTGCAGAAAATATACAGAAAGAGATATTAATAAAAAAAGAGACACAATATATATACAACGGCAATATGAAAGGGAATAAAAGGTGAATACGTAACAGTCCTGGTTTAGGAGTTATGACAGAGTTCAGAGTTGAATAGATAAAAGAGAAGTCGGAAGGGCTGTTCTTCAAGCAAGCTTTCAGCAGATGATGTCCAGAAATTATAGGGGAACTCTTCTGCCTCTGCTATCACCACCCAATTCCAAATTATGAAATGGAGCTGATATTGTCAGGTTTATGACTTTTGGGTGAATGCGGGGTCACCTGGGTCATTACCTCTACCAGACCTGCTTGTTTTTATTTTAACTTGTCCACTGGTGACAGATGAGTGCCTGGTGACATGCCTTTATTTAGGGACAGCTATAAAAGGGTTAGAGGGTTATTTGGGACTCTCACTAGAGCTTGGGCAATAAAGATCACAGGCCAGATAAGTAGATCTCTGTTCTGTGGAATGTGGAGGGACCTGGCAAATGACTAAATTAAGGCCTGCATTTGCTCTGAAATGGTGGACAAGAGAAAGCTATTTTTAATATTCAGACCCAAACCCCATTATCGTCACACCGTGACACACTGGTGTGCTATCTGAATTTATCAAAATGGATCCAAAAATTGCTAAAAAAAGTATTACACAATTAAATTTTTCACTGTAGCAAGGAATCCAGCAGGCGTCCCGCAAGTCTTAGCAATTGGTGACATCATCTGTTGCTATAGGCGCTGTCGCCAGTCACATTCTTAAACTGTGGGTGCTGACAGCATCTTTAGCGATGGATGACGTCAGCGGTTGATAGGAATCAGTCGGGTGCCTTGCGGGACGCCGGCTCGCTTCCTAGCAACCAGTGATATGGTTGGCAGGCAGCCTGCACAGCATTTTCTATAGAATGTGGAAAGCTATTGGTTGACCGCCCAGGCTGGGGATGGGGCCTGGTGACAGCTGGAAGCAGACATTGTTTCCGGCAGGGTGATCGGACGCAGCACCCCAGTAAGTGGGTGCTTATTGTGCTGTGTACCTTATATACGTATCTTAATGTATGTGTCTTCATATGTCACATATGTGTCATCGTCATACTCAGAGCTGATCACAGACCTATGACTTGGCTGTGAGGTGCCCTTCTCCTTCGTGGCACTGACTGCACTGATGCTTTGGCAAAGTAGATGCTCTCGGCAAAGTATACTAAAGACGCGGTCAGCAGCCACAGTTTAAGACTGTGGCCACCGACAGCATCTATAGCAATGGATGATATCATCCTTCATTTCAATGGCACGGCAAATGTACCTCCCGCTTGAAATCTGCTCAAACGTGCTGCTACTCGCAGTACTGCAATACCATGCATTGCAGTGCGGCTGGAAAAAGTAGTGCATACATATGATGTGCTCACGGAGCAATTACTTGTTGATGGCACCCCAAACTCTCTACAGTAGCTCTGTTGTAGAGCTACTTTAGAGCAACTGAGGAAGGACGAACCATATACATGAAGCTGCATAATCATGATACCTCTGTCTCAATACTCATGTTTAACATTACCTTGCTCTATAAAAATAATACATGTTCCCCTACAAGTCTAGGAAACGTCTATTTCTATTTAAAGTGATTTTGTTTCAATGCATTTATTGTTATACATGTTCCCTCAGGTCTGGGTATGCTTGCAAATGTGTACACTGATGACTATGAGAGAGGACAGGCAATGGGTATAGCGCTGGGAGGTCTAGCATTGGGGGTTCTCAGTAAGTATCTGGACTCCCAATCTCTTTTTATGTCTTGTCCTGTGAATGGCTGTGTATCTTCTCTAGAAATTTCCTTTCTCACGTCTGATTGTCTCTACAGCCGGGGCGCCATTTGGTTCTCTCATGTATGAGTTTGTTGGAAAGTCTTCCCCATTTGTGGTGCTTGCAGTTTTCGCTCTGCTGGATGGTGGTAAGAATTTTTGTCTCTGTGCAAATGCATGTATATCAGTAATTATAGTACACTGTACTCTCTGTTTTATGATATGCTGAGATATTGGTTAAGTTTCCCTATCACCAAACTACAAATAATCACAGATCAATAGCAGACTAGCGATCTGGATCATTATGTCTGGAGACAACAGACACCCCAGCAAGTGCTGGCACAATGTCTTTTAACACTCAAGATAAAAAGGCCAAAGTGCGCCCCCTCCGTCCCCATGAGCTACTTCAGTAGCATACGTTGCAGGTCTGCCCTTTATAAACCCCTCTCCTGCTGAAGCACCTAGACATATGCCCCTTATACCAACCCTTCAGCTTGGCTCCAGGAAATATTGAATACCTTTGCCTGAATGCTATTGTTTTACCTTGAGATAAGCATTGGCACATCATTGTTTTATCTTGAGATAAGCATTGGCAGATCATTGTTTTACCTTGAGAAAATCCTTGGGCACCTCATTGTTTTACCTTGAGATAATCATGGGACAGATCATTGTTTTACCTTGAGATAACGATTGGCACATTGTTGTACCATTGGGTACATCATTGTTTTACCTTGCGGTTTTGGAGTCTTGTGTCCGGGTGTATCTTGAGATAAGCATTGGCAGATCATTGTTTTACCTTGAGAAAATCCTTGGGCACCTCATTGTTTTACCTTGAGATAATCATGGGACAGATCATTGTTTTACCTTGAGATAACCATTGGCACATTGTTGTACCATTGGGTACATCATTGTTTTACCTTGAGATAATCATTGGCACATCGTTGTTTTACCTTGAGATAACCATTGGGCACATCATTGTTTTACCTTGAGATAACCATTGGCACATCGTTGTATCATTGGGTATATCATTTTTTTACCTTGAGATAATCATTAGGCACATGATTGCTTTATATTAGGATATTAATTGGGCACATCATTGTCTTACTTTGAGATAACCATGGGGCACATCATTGTTTTACCTAGAGACAATCATGGGGCACACTATTGCTTTAACTTGAGATAATCATGGGGTACATCATTGTTTACCTTGAGATAATCATGGAGCACATCATTGTTTTACCTTGAGATAACCATTGGCACACTATTACTTTAACGTGAGATAACCACTGGGCACATCATTGTCTTACCTGGACACAATCATTGGTCACATCATTGTTTTATCTTGAGATAATAATTGAGCACATCATTGCTGGATATGCTCAGCCATGTTCTCCATCGGGTGATCATGTTTATATCACAGTCATTTAAAACAAGATCTGGAGGTTAGATGGTGCCTACTTGTCCAGCAGCACTCCGCAGTAATGTCTACGGCCAGCTTCTTTACTCTCTGCATGCACAAGACAGAATATTGGGCACAGATTAGAATCTGTGTTCTAATCCTTCCCTTGGGAAATATGTCACTGCTGACATGGAGAACCCATAATGTACCTCATTTGGTGCACAGTAATATATTTATTTTGAAAAGGGGCTACAGCAGATAACACCCATGAGACTTAATGTTTATAGTATGTTCAATTTATCTCCCTAATAATATTTTATAGCTAGAAAAGCAGACAGTAAAAAAACAAAAAACAAAATGCACAGTCTGCATTAGGTAATATTTCATATTAATTACATGGTCTACATTAATGGTAGACTTGCATTCAGTCTTCTCATCAGGCAAGACTGGCTTATCGATGATCTTATCAGATCTGTACACCTGACTTGTATAGTAAATGGACCATCCTAATCTTATAGTCCTTTACAAATGACTGACTCTGCATTACACATTTATGACTATATTGTCTTTTAGCTCTGGTGTAGATATCAGTATCAATGAATGTACTATTTAAATATCAAACATTCTTATATTGCAAAATGTTCCATCCCTCAGATTATTACACTGGATATTTCTAAACTAATATAAAGGAAATGTTTTATTCACACTTTAGGGGGTTTATTCACACTTTAACTGTGCATTGCGGTGTGTCAACAAGTGAGCATTAATACGTGTTGTATGTCAACATGCATTGCACTAAAGCAGCCCATTCCTAGGGTAGGGTTGCCACCCATCCGGTTTTCACCCGGACAGTCCGGTTTTGGAGCCAGTAGGCACCCGGACACAAGACACTCAGTGCCGACACCGCCACTTTAAATTTTCTGACAGATGCGACTGCCGAGGTCCTCGCAAGTGCGATCTCGGGCAGCCGCATCGGCCTGAAGCCGGATCTTCCGCTGAGCTGCAGGCGCCTTTGCTTGTTTACAGGTGCCCGCAGCTCAGAGGAAGATCCGGGTGTAGAGTAGGGTTGCCACCCGTCCGGTTTTCACCCAGACAGTCCGGTTTTGGAGTCTTGTGTCCGGGTGTCCCGCCAGTGGGCACCCGGACACAAGACACTCAGTGCCAACACTGGCACTTTAAATTTTCTGACAGATGCGGCACCCTTTGAAAGGGCGGCCAATGCATCGCACGCAGACAAAAATAGGCAGGCAACTTTTCTTTTTTGATGCAATGCAGCACAACACGCAGCATGAGCACTGCCAAGGAGAGGGGGAAGGCGTACCTCTATGGTAGTAATGCATTGGGAAGCCTTTAAAATGAGTGAATTGCACCACAGTATACTCATCACCACCGTATCTTGCCTTCTTAGAGTTCCTCTAAGTTCTTCCAGCCTGATATAGTTGTCTCCCTTTCTGTCCGCAGCTCTCCAGCTTTTTTTTCTGAAGCCTTCAAAGTTTTCCCCAGGGGTGAGTGTCGCTGTGTCAGTAATCGGAGAGGGATGGGCGCTGACTGCTATGTCTGCTTCTAATATGTTGTCTTTTATTCTTTTAGAGCATTGCGCCAACCTCGTACTTGACACTCCTCAAGGACCCTTATATCTTGGTTGCTGCTGGTAAGTTATATTGCAAGAATCAGAGGTGTGCAACCGTGGCACTCCAGCTGTTGTGAAACTACAGGTCCCATGATGGATTGCAAGACAGGCATCACTCCCAGAGGCAGAGGCATGGTGAGATTCGAAATTCCACGAAAGCTGGAGTGCCGAGATTGCCTAGCCCTGGTGTAGATATATGATCATTTAAATGGCACCCAAAAGCACATCTTCCCTACATCTATATTTAGGATATAACATGAAACATGGTCACAGTCTGTACCATTGTTAACTTCCTCCGGCTCAATAACCCCCAGGCTGGGGGAATACTCTGCAGAAGCCGGGGCATCTCACCAGTTATCCACTGATCGCAGTTTCAATGCTTTGCAGGCTCCAATGCAATACAAGCACATGTATTTTTTATTCAATGCAGGTGCATTTATTATTTTTTGTATAAGGTAGAATTAGTCTGCTCATGCTGTAATATTTTTTTCTCCGCAGGGGCTCTCTGGTTTGCAAACATGGCGATTGGAGTTATGGAACCCACCTTGCCTATTTGGATGATGGAAACCATGTGTTCCCCGAACTGGCAACTAGGTACCTTGTCCCAGTCCACACTGCAGAGTGTCAAAGCACAATACTTTGACAATGCCATGCTTTGGTCAACTATTATTTTTCGGGGAACTAAATATTGATCAGGTGTTATCAGTATAACCGCTGAAGGACTGTGCAAGCAAGAAATATCACTTCCAGGGGACTTTGTTAGGGTGATCAGGCCCATAGACATGACATGGTCATCACCAGATCTGGCCAGTAGTGGTTGGATTGGAACACTATGGTATGTCTGTAGGTCACTCCTGACCTGGGCGCACACCCCAGGACAGCAGTGATATGCCTTGCCTTCTGTGCTGGTGAGGCATCCGTCAGCCTGCCGAAGCTCCACCCCGTCCAGCCGAAGCTCCGCCCCAGCTCGGTAACCAAGCCATATGGGGAGAAGGAAGGGAGGAGACCGGAAGGAGCCTCCCAGTCCCTCACTTGCTCATCACTGCTGTGGCATCAAGATCGATGGCCACAGTGGGTTTTTTTTTTTGATTGGACAGCTTGGACCAATTGTGCTTTGCCATTGGTCCAAGCCATCCACGCCTCCAACACAGAGTAGAGGCTGTGACAGCTCTTGCATCACCAAGTTCGGTTACACAAGCAGTGGGGAAGTGCGTTGCTGTGTAACCTAACTACTAACTACCTGTCAAAAGCCGGATGCATCGCTGCCTGTAATTAACAGGCAGCACTCCGTCCATGACAGGTCACACAGTGGGGAGGATTTCCCTTCTCTGTAACCTGTAACATGCCGATCTGAATGGAGAAAAAGCTGTCAGCTTCAGACTTGAAACTGACAGCTTTTTCCTCCATAATACTAGGTGAGGCTCGGCCCTGCCTGCCTCCTTCCCCTGACCGCACGTCCCTGCCAGACAGACTCAAGGACGAATTGATCACTGTTGTCCACTCAGGATATGTAATGGGAGTTTCATGTAAAGGGCATGAACACTCTACCTGTAAACTGATGCATTGTCAGATTTCATTTTAGCTGTATGTCTAGGCAAAATAAACAAAATGCAGAACATCTCTACGATACATGAACATTTCCCATTGCTTTGTCCCTTTAAAACCGCTGTAAGTACAGTAAAATACCTGTTGATCCTGCCAGTAATCCAGAGAATTCCTAACTTCCTGCTTGAGCTGACAACACTGCCACGGCTGCATTGAAATCCCAGTCAGTGTTATCAGCCCTGCCTGAGTTCTCCTCTCCTGGACTCCTCATAAAAAGGAGGGGCAGATGTTCTATAGCCCAGCAGAAGAGAGCTGGGCCGGTCTGATTACATTGCTTGGTATTTAAATGTAGCAGAGGCAGTGTGTTGTCAGCGTCAAACCTGAAGTTAGAAGCTCTCTGGATTTCTGGATCGCCTACAGGCAGGGCCATAACTACAGATCACGGGGCCCCATAGCAGCCGTCTGGGCTGCTATGGCTATAGTTACGCTACTGCTTACAGGTATTTATCTGTACTTGCATCATTTTTGAAAAGACAGAACCTGTGCTTAAGTGATGTATTTCAGAGATATATTGAGTATGGAGCGAGTATCAGCAAAACAGCAGAATTCATTAAATGTTCAAGAGCAGCTGTTGTTAAAGTGTTTAAAGACCGGACTTTCAGCCGAAAATCTGGGTGTGAACGTGCGAATTGTGGCCGTCAGCGACTAGTCAATGTTAGGGCAGAACGGGGGAGGGGCAAGACTGGTACAAGACAACAGAAGGGCAACAGTGCCGTGTCAGATTCCTCGCATCACCTTTCATCATCTCGTGGAGTCATCTCGTGGCCCATCGAAGTACTGATGGGGTGGTCATAATAATCTGGCCACTCAGTATATATACTGTATATATATATATACACATACATACATATACTGTGTACATATAAATTTCCATTGCCTTGGTTCACAATTTAAGCAATCAGGAGGATGATGAGGCTGCTGTTGCATAGATGACTGTTTCATCTGCTTGATGTAGAACAGTGACTGCTCACATTACCATCCCTCTAGAAATCAAGGCATTTAATCAACATCCAGTCTAGAAAATCTCATTAGTGAGACATTAACGACTTAAAAGAGAACTCTCCTCAGGGTAAGCCTGGAATAATAATATGACGCAGCACCTGAATGGTTCTTAAAGGGCTGATACATTTAACCGTTCCCTTCCTGCCAGGGTTCTCGTGTTAGTTTGTATTTCTTCCTCTCTAACAAATACATATTAACAGATCAGTGGAATATATTTTTGCAGACTGCGCTCTCTCTCTTTTGATCTTGTTGAGATTCCTAGAATTTCCTGGACTGTTCAGGCTCTGGTGGTCTGGGGGGCGGGGCTTCATCAGAAGGTACATCCATGTGGATGGACTGAGGAGTGGTCTATGATGTCCTGAATTTTCCACTCCAAACCCTTTTAAGGATGCTCCTCTTGGAAAATAGTTATTAGTGAGCCATTGATTAGAGAGGATCTACTAGAGGGGATGCATGTTATAACTGGACATTTTACAAGAGAATACATTGCCTTCATTCCATGTTCCAAATTTAGACTCATGGGTGCGCTGATTATTTTTATTAGGGGAAGACATCAAGGGTCTAATAGGGGGAGACATCAGGGGTCTAATAGGGGGAGACATCAGGGGTCTAATAGGGGAAGACATCAGGGGTCTAATAGGGGGAGACATCAGGGGTCTAATAGGGGGAGACATCAGGGGTCTAATAGGGGGAGATATCAGGGGTCTAATAGGGGGAGACATAAGGGATTTAATAGGGGAAGACATCCGGGTCTAACAGGGGACACATCAGGGATCTAATAGGGGAAGACATCAGGGATCTAATAGGGGAAGACATCGGGGATCTAATAGGGGAAGACACCTGGGATCTAATAGGGGAAGACACCTGGGATCTAATAGGTGAAGACACCTGGGATCTAATAGGGGAAGACATCAGGGATCTAATAGGGGAAGACACCTGGGATTCAATAGGGGAAGACACCTGGGATCTAATGGGGGAAGACATCAGGGATCTAATAGGGAAAGACACCTGGGATCTAATAGGGGAAGACACCTGGGATCTAATAGGGAAAGACACCTGGGATCTAATAAGGGGAGACACCTGGGATCTAATAGCGGAAGACATCAGGGGTCTAATAGGGAAAGACATCAGGGATTTAATAGGGGAAGACATCCGGATCTAACAGGGGACACATCAGGGATCTAATAGGGGAAGACATCAGGGATCTAATAGGGGAAGACACCTGGGATCCAATAGGGGAAGACATCAGGGGTCTAATAGGGAAAGACACCTGGGATCTAATAGGGGAAGACACCTGGGATCTAATAGGGGAAGACATCAGGGATCTAATAGGGGAAGACACCTAGGATCTAATAGGGGAAGACATCAGCGGTCTAATATGGAAAGACACCTGGGATCTAATAGGGGAACACATCCGGAGTGTATATTTAGAAATATATCCTCCACCCAATATCTCCCCATTGCTCCTCATTTATGACCTACCATGCCTTGTTCTGCACTGTGTCTCTGTGGGGAGACGGCCATCTTGGTAGAGGCAGGACTTTTCTTCCTCATGTTAGAGCCTCCAGCAAGGAGAACAGTAAACAGCGCAGCAGTAACAATACCAAATATCACCAAAAGCACCACCATCAGTCAGAGGCAGCAGTGCCTTAGATCTCACACTGCAGACATTCAGCTATAGTGCCTGGACACACTCAGATACCAGGAAGTGCTCTGCTATTTTTCAGGGGGAATTGTAGGCAAAAGGTACATTTTTCCGGGTGTTGCTCAGGCACAGTTCTAAATTTTACCTGTATCTTAGCAAATCTTTACTATTTCGGTTCCACTTGTCTGCAACTAATATTGTATTTTAGTTACTGCGGTTTGCTATTTTTTTGACAATCCGGACATCACACCATGTTTCCCTGTTTCTCCAGGACTGGCTTTCTTGCCTGCTAGCATTTCATACCTACTATGTACTAACCTGTTTGGGACGCTGTCACACAAGATGGGAAGGTGAGTCAAACATACTGTATTGTATCTACAGCTTATTTTGTGACAGAATAATGTGACGGCTGCTTTCTCTTTGCTTTAGGTGGCTGTGCACACTTCTCGGTATGATTGTGGTTGGAATAAGCCTTATTTGTGTGAGTACATCTTGGTAATCTTGCAGTGGTGAAAATTGTATTTTCAACCTTTTCAAATATGCAGCTTTTATTATAAGAATACAAAGTGATCCTGCCATGAAGGTCCTGGTTCAGACACTTCCTGTTAAGGGGTGACAGCTGCCCCCCAATAGTTCTCTTTTGTTGTCACCTTGTCACATGCGCCCCTGATGGAGACCAAAAAACAGGGGTTACCCATTAGGTTGATCGCGATCTTTCCAGTTGATGGCAAAGCGATCCCTGGTAGACCGCGATGTCCTGTCCTACTGGCGTGGGGCTTCTCTGGATCCCCGCTGCTCTCCCTTATCTGTATGCAGCGGGGATGCGAGGAGCAGTGAACGAAGCGCTGCAGCAGGGGGGGGCGGAGGATGGAGCCGCTATCACAGCAGCACACCGAGCGGTGAGGAGAGAGAGAGAGACGCTTGGCCTGGATCTGACAGCCGGCGGCTCTCTCTCTCCTCACCGCACATGCTGCTGTGACAGGGGCTCCGTCCTCCGCCCCCCTGCGGCTGAAGTGCTTCCCTCACTTCTCCTCGGATCCCCCGCTGCCTCTGCCCGGCAGAGCAGTGGGAAATCCGGGCCTACTGCCCGGGAGAGCAGCGGAGATCCAGAGGAGAAGCTGAGCACCCCCTGTGTGCGTGGCAGAGCGGCAGAGGATCGGTACATATCAGTCATATGTACCAATCCTCTGTGCAAGACAAACACTGGAGCGAACTGGGGACCCATGGTACTATGTATCCCCAGTTATGAATGAACAGGAAGTGTTTTACATCACTTCCTGTTCATTCATGAGTTTCTCAATGGGGAGTAGCACTCTGTACAGAGGCTCCTCCCCATTCAGAAACTGGATGATAGTAAATTGTTTCTGAATGAATGGGAAGCCTCTGTGCTTTCCATTTATTTACAACAGAGGCTGCAGAAAAAGAGGACTCTGTCTCCTCAATTTATTTTTCTATTTTAAAAGGGAAATATCAGGGGGCTGTTTAGACCCCTGATATTTCCTCAACAGTAAAAAAAAAATTACATAAAAAAAAATTTAAATGATTGTGTTTTGTATGAGAATGTGCTCAATAAACACTTATTGCAAAGAAAAAAAAATAAAAATTAAATAAAAAATAAGGGCGCTGGGTGAGTGTTAGACACCGCAGATGGAAAGGGGCAGGACACCTCTCCCCATCTGCAACGTCGGCCACATTCCGCCACACGAGCAACGCGGGAGGACAGGACGCGGCCGCCTCTAGAACTCACAGGAATGCAAGCCTGCCGACTCCCTGCGTTCAGGGGCAGGAGGGGGCGTGGGGTTGTATTGAAGTCAATGGCACCACGGCCATGCCCCCTGCCCACAGTACGATCGCCTGCCTGCATTCCGGTCCAGTGCAATCTGCAAAAATAGTGCTTGCAGTATTTCTGCAGATCGCACTGGACCGGAACGCACTGCGGGTGAGGGGAGTGGCTGCGGTGCCATTGACTTCCATGACCCTACATGCTCCCTCCCCCCCTGAATGCAGGTGATTTTTCGGTGGTAGATCTCATTGAGCTCGTCATTTGAAAAGTAGACCTCCGAACGAAAAATTGTGGGCGCCCCTGCCATAAGCGGTCATGCCAGTACACATTGCACAGGCACAGTCCACCGTTGTCGGGGAGCCGACCCAGAGCAATATTGTGCAGTTCACGCTGGAGCAGGTAGATGTAGACAGGAAGTGGTTGAAAAGGGCTGGAGGAGATGAGGAGCAGTAAGGAAATCAGTAGTTTATGAAAAAAATACAAGGCAACATTTTATCATACAGAGTACATTAGCAAATTACATTTCATCATGTTAGGATTTAGGTCTATTTTAACCACTTGAGTACCCACCTGTATACACGCTTTCATTACCACGCCATTTTTCACTTTTCAGCGCTGTGCTAGTTTGACTGACAATTACTCTGTCATGTAACACTGCAACCAAATACATTTTATATTTCTTTTAAATATATTTTCATATATATCATTTATATTATATTTTTTGAGACAAATAGAGCTTTCTTTTGCTGTTGTTTAACCACTTGCTGACCAGGTGTCTACACCCCCTTCCTGTCCAGGCCATTTTTCAGTATTCAGCGCTGCGATACTTTGACTGACATTTATTCCGTCATGCAACGCTTTACTGAAATTAATTTTATACCATTTTTTGGGGACAGATAGAGCTTTCTTTGGTGGTATTTAATAACCACTGAGGGTTTTTTTAAATTATATTAAGGAAAAATTACTGAACTTTAAAAAAAAAAAAAATTTTTTATATACATTATGTTAGGAAACAATTATTATTACCCAATTTTTTGGTAAAATATAAAAGACGGGGTCACGTCGGATAAATAGACACTAAATATGTCAAGCCTTAAAATTGCACGCACCCGCGAAATCGCAAAAAACTGACCATAGGCGACGCTTTTACCGCTCATCAGTTTAGTGTTATCAGTGATTAATGACCATAGAAGTATTGCTCTCACTGCGACGATATGTAACACGTGCGGTGTAATGGGTGCAATAGTCATTTTCTTATTTTTTTAAAATTCTTTTTCATATGTGACTTTTTTTTTGCAACTTTAATTTTTTTTTCCCATTTTCTTTTCACTTAACGTTATTATCACATTGGGGGCTAAGAAGCCCCCTATGTGATAGCAAAGAGATGTGACAGGTCCTCTTTATGGAGACATCAGGGGTCTCCAAGACCCCTAATGTCACCTAGGGACCCCCATTTAGCTCTCTGTGGCAGCAGAGGCCTCCCATGGTGTTTACAGCCAGCTTGTAAAAATCTCATATGGGATTAGCCAATCCTGCACAGTAACTCGATTAACTTGATTGGCGCTATGCTCCTATCTTCTTTACTGTAAGTATGCAACGAGATCTGAACCAGAGCTCCTCTGAACACGGAAGTGCCATGGGCCACCCACCCAATTAGCTGTGGGCTGGGGGATTTCCCACCCCATAGCTGCACATAAAGAAAAGGGACGGGATGTTTGTGCTGACATCATTGACCTTATATGGCCACATGGTAATATTAGGTCAATGTCATTAACCAAATGTAGCCATGTAACCATATAAGGTCAATGATGTCAGCACAAGCATCCCGTCCCTTTATGTGCAGTTGTGGTTGGGGAATTCTCAGGCCACAGCTGATTGGGCAGAGGTAGAATTAGCTTCCTTCCATGCTTGGAGGGGCCCCTTCTGGGACCAGAGGAGCTCAGGCTCAGACCAGGTTAGATCCAAACCTGAGCTCATCCCTATTAAGGAGCTTAAGAGGGGGGTGAGTCTTTTAGCAAAAGTGCAGTTGTACCCCTATACTGTATATAAACATCCCGCGGGTCACATTTCCATTGAACCCATTAATTGTCAAACTGTTCACATTCTCGACTCATTGTTCGGCATAAGACATAATTCTAAAGTCCTCCAACATCTAACAAAGTATAAGGCCATTCAACATTTCAAACTTTATCCTTCTGTGTGCCGGGCCTTTAACATCTACGTTCTTCCATGTTTCAGGTTCCGCTTGCTGTCAATATTTATGGCCTCATTGGTCCCAACGCCGGGATTGGCATTGCCCTTGGAATGGTGGATGCGTCTATTATGCCTATAATGGGACTCTTAGTAGATCTGCGTCACACTTCTGTCTATGGTGGCATATATGCAATATCTGACATTGCCCTGTGCATGGGCTTTGCAGTGGGTAAGAAAATCGTTATTATTTTTAATCCATATAAAACTGATATTATATAAAGCGTCTGCTCTTGATAGATACAGGTCTGCCATCTTTCAAATATACACTATATTGCCAAAAGTATTGGGACGCCGGCTTTTACACGCACATGAACTTTAATGGCATTAGTCCGTAGGATTCAAAATTGTGTTGGCCCACCCTTTGCCACTATAACAGCTTCAACTCTTCTGTGAAGGCGTCCACGGAAATGTTTGACCATTCTTCCAGAAGCGCATTGGTGAGGTCAGGTTCCGTTCTAGTTCATCCCAAAGGTGTTCTATCGGGTTGAGGTCAGGACTCTGTGCAGGCCAGTCAAGTTCCTCCACCCCAAACTCGCTCATCCATGTCTTTATGGACCTTGCTTTGTGCACTGGTGCGCAGTCATGTTGGAACAGGAAGGGGCCATCCCCAAACTGTTCCCACAAAGTTGGGAGCATGAAATTGTCCAAAATGTCTTGGTATGCTGATGCCTTAAGAGTTCCCTTCACTGGAACTAAGGGGCCAAGCCCAACCCCTGAAAAACAACCCCACACCATAATCCCCCCTCCACCAAACTTTACACTTGGCACAATGCAGTCAGGCAAGTACCGTTCTCCTGGCAACCGCCAAACCCAGACATGTCCATCGAATTGCCAGACAGAGAAGGGTGATTGGTCACTGCAGAGAACACGCCTCCACTTCTCTAGAGTCCAGTGGCGGCGTGCTTTACACCACGGCATCCCATGCTTCGCATTGCACTTGGTGATGTAAGGATTGGATGCAGCTGCTCGGCCATGGAAACCCATTCCATGAAGCTCTCTACGCACTGTTGTTGTGCCAATCTGAAGGCCACACGAAGTTTGGAGGTCTGTAGCTATTGACTCTGCAGACAGTTGGCAACTTCTGCGCACTTCAGCATGCGCTGACCCCGCTCTGTCATTTTACGTGGCCTACCACTTCGTGGCTGTTGTTCCCAGTCGCTTCCGCTTTGTTATAATACCACTAACAGGTGCTCGCAGAATATTAAGTACCAAGGAAATTTCACACATGGACTTATTGCACAGGTGACAACCTATTACAGTACCACGCTTATATTCACTGAGCTCCTGAGAGCGACCCATTCTTTCACAGATGTTTGTAGAAGCGTCTGCATGCCGAGGTGCGTTATTTTATACACCTGTGGCCATGGAGGTGATTGGAAACCTGAATCCAATGATTTGGAGGGGTGTCCCAATACTTTTGGCAATATATTGTATTTACAATCTTCTCTCTATATATAATGAAATATGACTATACATAGGCAACCTCGGCACTTTAGCCAAATCCTAACATGCCTTTGCCTTTGGTAGTCATGACTGTGGCTGCTAGAGTCTTGCAATGCCTTATGAGACTTATGTAGTTGCACAACAGCTGGAGTGCTGAAGTTGCCAACCCCTGCAGTATGCAAAAGATATGCAGGAACCCATAACAATCAAGTCTTATAGTTGATCTCCAGGCAGATATAAAATACACAAATGAATGCATCATTAAATATATATTTTTTTAATGCAATCAGTGTAAGTACCTAAATATGACCTGGTATCACCCTCTTGTAGTCCCTCTTCAGTGAGGCTGGATTGTAAAAGGAAGAAGTAGCACAAAAAGCCAATAAGTTCATATGCTGGCAAGAAGCATGCTGATAATAAGACGAGAAAGCAGAATGACAGAAAGATGAGCCCATCACAGTGCTGCTTCCTTTTCACTGTCCAGCCACAGGCTGAGGGCGGGTCTAGGATGACCTGGGCTTAGAGAAAGTGGGTTGAATGATGCTGACCATTGGACTGAGGACATCTAGTGGCAGAAAAAAATACTGCGGGGGAAATCCCTGAATTGATAGTGAATGTTGCAGCAAAAGCTGGTTTTGCTATTTCATCTTTTAATGGGCTATTGGTTTTTACCTATACAACCAATGTGTATTCAATCAAGCCCTTGCAATACATAGTTGTTGCTTAAGGTTACCATTAGTCTCCATTTCTTGGGTGCAGTCACTGTTTTGAGAGGTTTGTCCCCCAGCGTCAGTGAACAGCAGTTGTATACAGCCAGTTTTGTACATGTGTGATAGCTGCCTCTTGCACTCTGCATCACTTACTACTGACCCCTGAACCCTGCGTTACTTACTACTGAGCTCTGAACTTTGCGTTACTTGCTACTTTTCCCCTACTCATTGTGACGTACGCCCGGCCCAGACCCGCTGTACGTCAATCCCACGTGACCATACACAAGTCTGAACCGAGCGTGAGCGTCACAAGGACGTGCCGATAGCACTCTCAGTCTCACCCTGCGCAGAGATTTCCCATCCCGCAGGACACAATCTCAGGCCAGCAGACTGAGAGCGATCGTCACCAGGGTTGGTTAACTCCGCAGTTAACCCTTTACCCACCAAACTTCCACTGCCACCATGTGTTTTTCGGAACACAAACCGCGCCCAGCAAATGCTGCGACAATTTAAACACTTAAACAATGCCTGTGATAGCGCTGTCCTCTCAGACAGGAATATGATAGGAGTCACTATACAGTAGCACTCTTCAAAGAGCAAGGATACTTTAAGTTCGTATTTAGAGCGTAGAGATAAGCTTAACGATTTTTAATATCGTCCTTTAATAAAAGAAACGGCGCAGAAAATATACAGAAAAAGATTTAATAAAAAGAGACAAAATATATGTACAACAGCAAAATAAAAGGGAATAAAGGAAGAATACTCAACAGTCCGTGAATTGTGAGTTCTGACAGAGTTCAGAGTTCAAGAAGCAAAGTGGAAGTCTGCAGGGCTCTTCTTCCAGCAGACTTCCAGCAGATAATGTCCAAAGATTAAAGGGGAACTCCTCTGCGATGTTCAGACTTCTAGTTCCTCGATGATGTTTAAAACAAGAGCCCCTCTAGTTGCCAACACAGAGTATTTTATTAGACCCTTTTTGGAGGGTGTCCCGGAGCCAGTCCCTAGGCCGGACTGGGGCGGGAAAGCAGGCGGAGGATGAACCTTTAGTTTACCTATCCCCGCCTAACTCCAAGTTAATAAAATGTAACTTGATTTTCAACCTCAGGTTTTATGACTTTTAGAGAGAATGCGAGGGTCCCCGGGGTCACCCCCTCTCCAGACCTGATTGTTGATATAAGATGTCCACTCAGTAATATATGGAGGGCCTAGTGCCATGCCTTTTATTAACGACCGCCATAAAAGCTTACAGAGATATGTTTGAATTCCACTCGGACTGGGCAATAAAAGATCACAGCCAGATCATCTCTTCTGTGGAATGTGGAATGTGGAGGGGGCCTGTCACATCACTAAATGAAGGCCTGCAGGTGCTCTGAACTGGGAGAACAAACAAATTCTATTTTTAATATTCAGACTCAGACCCCCTTATCGTCACACTCATGACCTATGTACTCTATGTGTTACCTGCTAATGTCCCCATGTACTCCATGCATTACCTACTGATGTCCCCTGTACTCCATGCATTACCTACTGATGTCCCCTGTACTCCATGCATTACCTACTGATGTCTCCTGTACTCCATGCATTACCTACTGATGTCCCCTATACTCCATGCATTACCTACTGATGTCCCCTGTACTCCATGCATTACCTACTGATGTCTCCTGTACTCCATGTCTTACCTACTGATGTCTCCTGTACTCCATGCATTACCTACTGATGTCCCCTGTACTCCATGCGTTACCTACTAATGTCCCCTGTACTCCATGCATTACCTACTGATAACCCCTGTACCCCATGCGTGTTCTGCCTTACACACTCCTGACCCTTGCACATGCGTTATGCACTCTTGACCCCTGAAATCCACGTGATACACTTGTCTGATCCCTGCACTCTGTCTATTACACATCCTGGACCCATACTAGTGTAGACTTAGGGTTTATGTAACCATGCATCCTCAACCGCTCCCACTTGTATGAATTTCAGCGGCCAGCTGCACATGCTGCATTATTTCACTCCTTTTAGTGCTCAGGGCTCTTTGTCTTTACATCTTCAATGTATGCTTTTCTCTTCCTCTGCTTGCTGCTTCCTCTTGGTCTGTGTGACCAATTGTCTCAGGGCATGCTAAAAATGGGGCGTCATTTTGTAGGTCTGGCTACAAATGGGGGGTGGTTTTATGGGTGTGGTTCCAAGTGGGCGTAGTCAGTAGGGTGTCCCCAGATTTCATTTTGAAAATCTGGTAACCTTATTGATCTAAAGAAGATTGTACACAGAGGGGTGCGGCCCGCACCCGGGTGACACCATTGGAGGCGTGACACCAAAATGACTAACAGTCATTTTGGTGTTACCCCCCTCTGAAAAGTCGGGCACTCGGTTATGGACCGAGCGCCCGACAGTTTCGGGATAGAGGAGGGGACCCGGCGGCATACCTTATCCCGCCGGGTGACTGTCCCCCTCCTCTCTCTGCCGGCGTCCCTTCACCAAGGCCACCGGCAGGTATCAATAAGATCGACCTGATTGCACAGTCACATTGTACATGGTGAGCCTTACAGTAAATGTTCTCCATTGTCCATTTTGCACCCCATAAATTATTCTTTGCACTGCCCCAATAAACAAGTATGCATGTGGTAAATTGTTGTGGTGCAAGATTTGTGACTAACAGGCCCAGGGTAAAATCCTGGATGGGATTATATCAAACTGCTCAGACCTATAAAGAGGTCCAAACATATCGGTTGAGATGAAATGTGCACGGCCATTTTCGCTGACTGTGGAAGCTGCAAGTCCCTCCAACCACATGATGCAGCAGCTGGTAGTTTGCAATTAGTATAACTGATGAGAAGAACAAATTTATCACCATACCCGACATGATGACCGTGGCACATCCGTGCCATATGCTCATTGACTCATTACAGGGAAGATGGTTCATGTGAGATTATTGGGTGATTTTTTAAATAAAACAGATATTCGGGCAGATATAAAATCAATAAAGTAGAACTGACGCCAACAGTTTTTCTAGCAGGTAACAACCGGCACGCGTTGCTATGACTAAAGCCCAGTTTGGGGCTCAAACATTTTTGCAAATAAAGTATTGGATGGACGGATCCCCTTGCGAATGCCGGTGTTCTGGCGAGAATGCGAACCAGTCGAATTGGCCGACCTCACCATCTGCGTTTGTGCATACACCGGAATTAACAACGAAACAGGCATTTATTTAAAAAGTATTTTGTCTTCATTGTTAATTGTGACCTTTAATAATACAGGCAGTCCCCGGGTTACGAACAAGATAGGGACTGTAGGTTTGTTCTTAAGTTGAATTTGTATGTAAGTTGGAACAGGTACAAATGTAACTCCAGCCCAAATTGTTTTTGTTTTGTTTTGGATAGCATAGGGAAGGGTTTACCCCCTGTCAAGTTTGTTTTGCTGTGTGTGCCCCTGTTCAGAAGATTTCACCTCACTTTCTGTCCCTGTGACAATTGGATTTTGGAAATGTTGGGTTGTCGTGGAAACAAGGATTGGTGATAAAGCTTCAGTGAAGACACCTTTTTCCCATGATCACTCTTACAGGAGGGTAGGGGTAGATTTCATTTCACTTCCTGTTGTCTCAAGGACAGGAAGTAAGGTTAAATCTTTCTAATGAGGATACAGACAGCAGTAAAAACCTTGCAGTGACCCGGAAGAAGAGGTGGGTACCCCTCATCTGCACGTCTAACAAGAGCCAACTCCCTGTAATGTACGTACAGTACTACAAACCAGACCCATAAAGGCGGGCACTCCTCATTGGCACGAGCGCGATAGCATTACAACTACCCCTGCTGTATAGTAATAGCCTCCGTTTGTAAGTAGGAGTGGTATGTAAGTTGGATGTATGTATCTCGGGGACTGCCTGCATGCCATCCATGGCAGTAAATGGTGGATGCCATTTTATGCACATTCACAATTAATATCGTAAGCAATTACATAATAATGTAATTGCTTACGATGTTAATTGTGAATGTGTATAAAATGGCATCCACCATTTACTGCCATGGGTGTCATGATATCAACGGTCACCATTAACAATTACAAATGAATACTTTGTAAATAAATGCCTGTTTCCTCGGCAATCCTGTCTGTGCGCAAGTGCAGATGGTGAGGTCGGCAAATTTGACAGAACACCGGTTTTTACCTGTTGCTCAGTGAAGGCTCTGGCGTTCCAGCAGTGGGATTGGGGACGAGAGGGTAGAGCTGCTCCATGTTTCTAAACTT